TTCTTATTTCTTTGTGTCTCAATGCATTTTATTCCCATTTTCAACCCATTGAGGACCCAAGAGTAATTGTTGCAGCTGCTCCTTGTTGAGGTTTTCCATGAGAATACACCAGTGTGTGTCTATCATTGTTCTAGTTTGATCTCACCCCAACCCCCACTGTCTATGAACAGCAGTAGGTCACAACGTTGCCGACAGACAAAGGACTGTAGGAAACGCTGCAACGATGCGAGAACAGTCCACTATCAGGGTCAAGGAGGAGAATCACTGGGGTTCCACAATGAATGGAATTCCCCAGCAATGTGTCCTCGAATTTGACCCCTGACCTGCTATGTTTCTGAAATTATTATTTCAGAACATAAATCAAAAGGTCTATGACATCTTACTACCTTGAAAGTTTGAGCGCTTCTGAATGTTTTAGGGTCACAAAGCATGTATAGCCTAATCAGTGCTGGAATATTAACCAATCAAGATTATCGACAAGGACTCAATGAGAAGTGCAATGGTAGAGAAAAAAACCCTGTTTTAGTAGCTAGAATAACTGCTAAGTTGTGGTAAACATTTTGAGAATGTTATAACAGCATTTTATTAGCCTCTATTCAAAGTCAAAGTTGACAAGGCAGATAAGCTCGTTGGTTGAAGCATTATTGCACTTTCTAGCGATTTGCAATTGAAAATAAATGTACCAGGATACAAGGCATTGCAATTTCTGTGCATGGTGATTACACATATCCAGTTTTATCTGGTTTTGACTTCATCATTGCGCCGCCTGCCATCTTGTGGACACTGATAGCACAGCACACTGTTTTTGGGGGGATAACTTGCTGTACAGTCACCAAAGTTGTGGTTTAAAATCTAAAACGTATATATATGGTTCTTAAATTATGCTGTTGCTTTTCAAACTCGGTATTTATCTGAAAGAAACATGTTTTTAAAAAACAAAGAAAAAAAAACGTGCCGAACCAACCTCAACTATCTCCTAACTTTTCCCTAAAAAGTAACAGTTTGTAGTCTGGCATGTTTTAGGCCTCACCAAAACCAATGGAGGCGGTAATTGACTACACTTGTCTAAATCTCTAGAAGAAAAACGTTTTATTTTATTACATCCTTGTAGTTTGTGGATGTAGTAATAATGACTTAAACAATTACATTTCTCATGACTGGGTGTGCAATATCTGTGGATCCATAAGTGACACTAAAAAAGACACCAATGGTGGATATCAACCTCCATTCTGGTAACTTGATGAACAAATCAGCTTAGTGAGGGGGTGTCAGGATAGTCACTCCTCTCAAGAGTTCAGTGTGGGGTGTCCCTCTGGTGGTCACCTTGAGGCATTGCATTCATCCGTTAACATTCTGTAAACATCTTTTTTTTTTTATACAATGGGTTAGCGGAAACTTTATCATAATGTGACATACTAAATCAATAGAGCTTGGGCCTAATGTGCATGTTTTGGAATACATTACGTTACCTGCAATGCTGCATCATAAAACCACACATTTGTCATAGAGAAATACACAAATAGGCCTACACAGATGTATAGTAATACCGTGGAACAGACATGCCATTTTGAGTCTCCATCCCCATTGGATCAATAACGAAAGATTAGAGTGCAAGCATAGCTTTTAAACACCACATGCTTGATATGATGTAAGACTGAGTGCAAAGGACTTTGGTCTATGAGAGCAAAGCAGCTGAGCGGTGGACAGCCCATTACATTGCACAGATGGTGTGGCTTACTGCCTGTCCTCTTTAAGCCCCCATGCTTGGGGTGGTTCATGGTCAGCCATTTTGTTACAGTTTCAACTGGATATTCTGCCTTGCATATCAAATGGTAGAGCAAGTCTGTTGGCTGCCTAAGCCTTGGACTCCATATTTAAAAACATGTTGGGGGTTATGGAACTCAAATCATTGTATATAAAAGGCCTTAGAATATGTTTTACATTCTTGACCTTAAACCTCAAGTTCTTGACCAATACATAAAATGAGAGGGAATTAAAGGGTGGTGGGGTGACAAGGGCTGTAGCTCTTGAATAAAGGCACCAAAGAGAACAAAGAGTGGGTGGATTTCTGGTTTAAGGCTTTGGCTGCGGATCAGATATTTCAGGTTCTGAGCATGTTTCTTTACCTCTACTTTACGCACACATTTTTTGTGGTCTCCTTCCCTTCACATTTCCCACTGTTAATCGTGAACTATAATTCTACAAGTTTTACCGGTGAAACGTCCATGCAGCATCTGCATACCAACCATTTGATCCCATTCAGTTGAATGGGGATATGCATTTAGATCTTCTTGAGTTGTACATTGTTGTTTCGAAGTAGCCTACAGTGTTGTTTTTAATGATGTACAGTGAACGAATGCAGTGGCGTTTTTGTCTTACAGTAAAGTAATACTACGCTATTATATAAGGTTCTGTTATGTATATATTCGGTTCTGTTATGTAGAATACAATTATGATTCTATCTTGCAGACATTGGGCTCGTTTGAATGGTAAGACAAAAGCAACCGACCGTAGACGAAAGTCCAGGAGTGAAGTCAGTGAGATGCATCTGCGACAGCCAAAAGTCGGACACTGATGTGGTTTTCCAACAGCAAGGCTCAGTGCAACATGCCATTGTTTATAAAAGTTTTTCTTTGTAATGTTGAAATAAACATGTAAATATATGTGTGTACGTTGTACTACCAATTGGTGAGAGCCTCAAATATCACATTCACAAATCCACTGTATACATGAATCATAGCAAAGTTAGTTCCTGTTTCAGTTATGTCTTTGGTCAAACAAAAACACCCTAATGATTAGTTGACAATAGAGCCCCACAGTGGAGGTGTCATAATACTCACAAAACCTAGAGGTCAAACAGGGTAATGATTCCAATCGTTTCTCCACCATTCATTTATCCCATAGGGAATTTTAGAAACACTTAAAATAATGGCTGTGTTTCGTGTAGGCTTACCCTGGCGTGACATTTTGATAACCATGTAAGTCTCTCCCGGACATATTTACATTTTAGTCATTTAGCAGACGCTCTTATCCAGAGCGACTTACAGTTAGTGAGTGCATACATTTTTTTTTTCATACTGGCCCCCCGTGGGAAACAAACCCACAACCCTGGCGTTGCAAGCGCCATGCTCTACCAACTGAGCTCCAGGGGACAAAGATTACTTTTATCAATATATTCAGCTCTATTTACTCTCAGATCCAAAAATGCTAATTAGCGTCAAAGTAGACATCATGCAAGACTACAAATCCCTGCAAGTTCCTGCACATCATCTCTAGCTGACACCTTTGCTAACAGGTATTGTATCAATTTAAAACTTGCACAAGACAGTTCACAGAATTGTCCATTTAAAGAAATGTAGCCAGTTTATGAATGACTAACTTTAGCTAACATTAGATAGTTAATCCAGAGAGTTTTACCTATGCCTCGATTTGGCAGTCTCGTCCAGATCATCATGGCATTTGTAGTTCTTTATGATAGCCACATTAGCAGCTAATTAGCGTTTCATTTTTTAGGGTTAAATACAGGCGAATATATTGATAACACTCCCCTTGTCCTAGAGAGATTTACATGGTTATCAAAACATCATGCCAGGGTAAGCCTAAACAAAACCCATCCCTTATTGTAAGTGTTTCTAAAATCCCCTATGGGAAAAATGAATGGTGGAAAAACCGATTGGAACCATTTCCTTGTTTGACCGCTAGGTTTTATGGGTATTATGACTCATACTGTGGTACTCTATGGCTGCATGATGATATTGTACCCCCTAGCCCAATTGTCCTTTGTATATTCTTTATATATACTTGTGTTCCCCCCATGTACTTTTTGTGTTGATTTGTTGTTAATAATAATATGCATTTTTTTTTTTTTTTAAGATGGGTGCATGATAAAGTTGGTGAAGAGCAACTGCATAGATTTGCAGTCCACTGCAGTCAAAACTTAATGACCTTTGATCACGTTTTTTGAAAAGTTAATGCAGTGGTAATTTAGTCGCAAGTCAGACAATTGTTACCATTGGGTCACCAACTTCACAAAAGTGATCTGCTCAATTGCGCCTATTGATTCAGCTTTGATCTAACTTTATTAAATGAACACCATTGCCAGTGTAGCCTGTTCTCTACGAGTAGAGCCAGAGAGGAAGAGGTGAAGCGAGAAGTTTCACTCGCACCAAAATCTGTTCAAAATAAGGCCAATGCGTTTCTGTGTGCTTATTTTCCCTTCCCGCATTGGGACAACGACTCCCATTGTTAGGGTGGAGACATGAGTATCTCATCATTATGTAGGCTACAGATCTCTGGTAGAGCAGAGGCTATGGGCTTGTTTGCAGGCGACCTACGACTGACCTACAAAGAACCTTGTATCATAAATAACTAGTACTCATTATTATTTGTAGATCAATCAGTCACAATTTACCCATGATACATTACGGTTTTGATCCTCTCGAACGCAGCCTGTGCGTAAAGTAGTACATTAACAAATGCGCAGAACGTGAACCGCACATGTGCAAAAGCATCAGGATTTTTTGTCCGGAGAAAAAAAGGTCAGAAAAGTCGGATCGGCAGCCACTCTAATCTTGGTTTCCACTAAATGTCACAGTCACAAAGTAAAAATTGGCACAAAAAAAATGTGTTGGGTCTTAACTTAAGGTTAGGCATAAGGTGAGCAGTGTGGTTAAAGTTAGGGTTAAGGTTAGGTTTCAAATCAGATTTTAAAACGATACATTGTAGAAATGGGCGTGGTTTTGCCATAATTATGACTTTGTGGCTGTGTTAACTAGTGACGACCCCGACGGTTTAAAAGGAAGACCCCGGTGGTTTATAAGGAAGATATTGACGTTCGCATTGACCCATCTAAATCTACTGCGCGCGCAATCACAACCAATCACCTCCGGCGGATTATGTTGATCGCATGATCTGTTTGATTGGCGTGTCGATCATCCGATTAAAATGAGGGAAGAGAGGACTGGCCTATCAAGAGCTCCACAGGGCGGGATTTGATAGAGGGGGCTGGGTGCGAAGTATCATGGAGGATCAGTAGGAGAACTGTGGCCATCCAAAAAGCTGAGCTGTGGGTCCAAGCACTGGAGTTTCTGAACATTTGATTGGCATTTTTTAACGTTAACCTAGTGTTTTATATTTTACTAATAATGGAGATGAAGAAGAGGATCAGTTTAGAATTGAGGAATAGGACACCAGCGGAGGTGAGTTATCTTGCCATTTGTTATCTTAAAAATGAGGTGATAACTATGCGAGCCGATAACCCAGAGAAAAGCGGACTTCTTGCGAGGCTCCACTCTGCACATGGACAACAAGAGGATGCGAGTCCGATTACAAGTTTTTGTTTTGTTTTTGGGGGATTCTGATTATTCGTCCTATCACAATATATGTTGGTTTCTGAACAAAAACGAACTACAAGTATCCACAAAGCAATTTAGATCGCTTTGTGATTCTAATAGTATTTTATAGATCTGCAACACTGTCTTTGCTATCATCCTCCTTGTCTTGCGCCCGGCCAGAGATCCATTGAACGTTCAAGGTGGCGGAGCGGGCATAATTATGAAGAACACATTCCGCTCGGATTATGCTATTGTTGTGAGAGTAATACCATTTTGAAAAGCCAATAACATCGCAATAAGGCTCTGCTGACGTCGTGTTGACTCCTGTAGTATAGCAGGCTAATCCAAATACAGAGAATTCACGACTGATGTGGATATGTGAAATAACTTTTGAGACGCGATTAATTGGTTTGTCTTGAAAGTTCCCTGATGTTATTCGATATGAATGCCGATGCAGATAACTATTTAAGTCGAATGTAAAAACGCAAGCTTTCCATGCGTAACGAGCATTTTGACCGGTCTTACCAGGTTAACCAAATGGCACAAGGAGCTGGTTGGTTTCTCTGAGCGGACATTTTACTAATCGAATGGGTTTAGCTAATACCCATTTCTTTTACCATAGTATTTTTTTTAAAGTCCACGGATTTAAACATCAATACTTCGATTTTATATTAACAGCGCCTGCAATAATGTATACGCAATTTAAAACCAGCACGCACGCGAGTTGACCGTTGTCGGAGCGAGACGCGCAGGCACTGACTACGGTGGCGTCAGTGTAGCATTTTTTTTTTGTACAGTGCAGGCTTTTGAGCCCTGTTTATGAAGTGCGGGGAGTGGAAGTCATTTTGTTGCAGCTATACACGAGCCCATTTTGACGGCGATAACCGGTTTAACGCGATTTAGACACACGCAAATGAATAAATTATGCGTATTATATAGTAGGCCTAAATCAAAATGTAGAAAGTCTACTTCCAAATGAATTTCCTATAGACTGTACGACTCACCCAGCCGGCCATTTAAATAGTCTACTGTACTCTCATCTGAAAGCAAGTTGTCTTTCGCCTCCATGATATAGTGATTATGTAACAACAGGCATTTTCATATGTATGATTAAGGATGACGTCTTTGTAAAATGTGTATGTGTAGATATACACATTAAAGGGTAGCAGAGTTTTTGGTCCTGCTCTGCGTTTTACGAATTTAAGTAATATAGCAGATGGTGTGCGGGGCTCAGACCTACTCCCCTATTTAGTAGATTAGGCTACATTAAACCCCCCAACCCTCAGAGATGGCGCTTGTCTGAGGATTGACAAAACCCATTCATTCATGCCACTGACTCTAGCCTTCATTCGGCAAATCTATTTCTCTTACCATTTCTATAGTTACATAACTCAGCTGTGCATTCGGCAGTGAAGTCTATTGTGTAGGTGCTTCTGTATAGGATGTAGGCTACATCTCAACTGATGTTTCTCACTCGACGACAATATCGAGATGATGCGCACAGAACTGTTCGTTCACAATCGATAGGTATTAAGTGAAGATAAAACCAGTCTAAGACTGTGACAATGCCATCTCTGGTTTTGAGGAGCGTATTATTTATATATTAGTGGTACGATTATATACACATTGAATACACATTTTGTTGATAAGAAATAACATTGTTAAAACACTTTGCCATATATAACTTGGGACAAGGGTTGGGGTCAATTCATTTAAATTCCAGTCAATTCAGAAAGTAAACCAAATTCCAATTCCAAATGTTCCACATTGAAAAGCATTGAAGGGAATTGGAATTTCAGTGTACTTACTGAAGTGACCACAACCCTGCTTGGTACAAGTGCAGTGCTATTTTGTGCAACACCAGAATGACTACCCTGAGGAGTGCCTATAGACAAAAAGGGTAGCATCATGCTTGGAATTATTCAAGGTTTCTTGAATACAGCTCACATGTAGGCTATACAAGTGTAAGTCAACTGGAGTCAATTTCCCTGATGCCAATATTAAATGTAACACTTCAACTTACTTAGCCATTCCTCATAACCATCACTCTCCAAGGCCCCTGTGCTGCCAAGTATAGAAAAAATTTATAGACTACCACAACTACATACTATGCTTGGGTGTGGGAGAAAAAAAGAATGTTGATTACACATAATCTCAAGGCCTTGTAGCAGCAGAGCTTTGCACCATAAGAGGGTGCTGAAGCAAACATGCTTTTGAGAATGCATTTTCAGTGGAAGACCCTGTCTACCACGTGTAAAACTTTAAAGAAATATAAGAAAGGCTTTACAGAGGTTGTTTGTATTTTTCGTTTGTATCATTACTTAATTTGAATCAGAATATAAATCACAATGATACTGCTGCAAATTTGAGGCAATAGAGGACTGTAAAAATGTGACCCTCGGCCCTGAAGGCTAGCAAGCTACAAACTGAATCAAAAGCCAAGATGACTTGTAGTTGTAACATGTTATTATCAATAATCTGTTATTAGTCACTATTGTATTATTTTGTATTTGGTACTGAAGTCAATGAGAAGGGTGTAATTTTGATATTTGCCACAAGAGGTCGCTAGTCGCAAGCAGCACACACCATAGCAAAGATTATGGATATACTGAAAAGATACGTCTCGCCGCCCTAACAATGATGGTCGTTGTCCATGGCGGGCTGTCCTTTCTTTGGATTGGTGGATACATCTCATTATTGTAATCTTTTTTTGAATAGAATAGAATTTTGAATAGAATTTTAGGAAATAAGCTTTAAACCTGCAAAATTCTCTCCAGCAACTAGGGGTGTGAGCAGTTGTCATGAACAGTGCTTGTGCCCATAGAAATAGATGTTCCCCAATGCTGGAAGGGGGGCCCCAAGTAAGAGATAATGAACCCCTGGATTACACAATGCACAATAACACAGGGCCAATAACAGAGCAACTGTAAAGTAAGAGAACTACACAATCTTGCAATCAATCCTATTTTCCGTACAACTGGACAACTGGTCACCTTGTTTTTGTTTCAGTTAGGAGCGGAGGGCTTCCATGAGAGGGTGTTGCTGTGTGCAATTTGCCTCGTTGAATTCCAGCTTTGACAGTCGTGAAAGGTGCCCATCAGGTGGTGTAGGAAATAGGCTATTAATAACAAAGGTGACCACACTCCCGCTCCTCTGCAGTAAAAGCGTCCCACATAGTTGCATTGTTCCTCTCCCTCAGAACAAGAAGTAGGCCTAAGTAGAAGTGAGGCGAGAGTCTGCATTTTTGGAAGATGATTAACTATGACGCTGGAGGACTTGGTCCTTCCGCAAGAGAGTATCTTCTTGTTAGCACAGTCTGGGATAGCATATCTGAGATGGTGTAAAATGCCAAGATATACTTGTCCTATCTCGACTGCAATAACAATATTTTTTTGTTATCAGTCTCTAAAAGATGCAGTCCGGGATCTTAAGCACAACAAATTTGTAACATCTTGTACAAATTGGATTCATAACATATCATACGAATTGCACGCACATAAACAATTTTGCAGGATGTAACGTATCATACGAAATGGACAAACGTAGTACACAATTGGATGAAATAGTACACAAAAAAACAGGGACTTATCTTACGAATACACATTTTGGAATTATCTTAAAACAAAATATTAATTTTTCACTGAAGAGACTGTGGCACTTGATGTTTCATGCCTGTCAATGTCACAGTGATCACGACTTCTAGCGACAATGAAAAGTAGCTAGCTAGCTGAACAAGGATGAGAGACAAGCTGTCTGTCAGTCTAGTAGCCCTTCTGGCTGTCAGTTATCCTGCCTACAGCATTCACGCAGGAGTGTGCATTATTGGCTTACCCTACATTCACATTACAAAATCTTTACCAATTACTTGTTCTTACCAATTACATTCCGGGACTGAGTCTCCCTGCCAATTAATAAAAATAAAAAACATTTTAGTAATTTTGCAGACTGTGTTATCCAGAGCAACTTACAGGAGCAATTAGGGTTAAGTGCCTTGCTCAAGGGCACATCGACAGATTTTTCACCTAGTCGGCTCGGGGATTCAAACCAGCAACTGTTTGGTTACTAGCCCAACGCTCTAACTGCTAGGCTACCTGCGGTTTTGCTACCTGATACAGTATCAGCAGTAAAACTGAAATATCCCACAATGTGGGAGGGTTGGCAACCCTAGCTGCAGGCCTAACGCATTATACAGTAGCATGGGTAAAAACCCCAGAGTTGGTCTGGGATCATTTTAGCCAGCAGATTCCTGTGTAGATTAAGACACCGCAGAGCCGGTGCGAGATATGGCTCGGAAAACGTACTTCAATCCAGGGATGAGAAATGTGTTGTACTCCGAATTGTCCCATTATCCCAACCGTTACACCGAGAAGATTGAACGACTTAGTTTCTCTAGAAAACTGTCATTTTCGTCCTCATGCTATGTAGCAGAAGCCACAGCAGCCATTATGGGATGGCAATGTCAGCCAATCAGCTCCTTTATTGTTCAATGCGATTTGCCATTCCTTAATGGCTGCTGTGGCTACTGCTAGCTAGTATGTGGACAAAAACGGCAGTTTACTTAAACTGTAACAGTTGGGATAATGGGAAAATTTGGAGTACAACGCATTTCTCATCCCTGGATTGAGGTACATTTTCTGAGCCATATTTCGCGTCGGCTCAAAGTGTCTTAAACTACACAGGAAGCCTGTCCGACCCTAGTGCAGCTGAAAGCCGGATCTGCTGGCTAGGATATTTATTCAGTTTTGCTAACTCCTTGTTTGGCTTGACAATGAGTGACAAGCAGGAGTTTGCAAGACAGCACAGATCTAGGATCAGGTTAGGCTAGGTCTGGAGGTTTTCAAGTTTCCACACACTCCATCATCAACGACAACATCAAACAAATACAAAATACAGTATCAGCAGTAAAACCAAAATATCCCACACATGCTGATATAAAAATAGTAGCTAGTACAGATATTAAAAACCATTGTGCAATGGAAAACTAGGAAATGTGGAATATTTAATTTTTTTTGCTACCCAGCTAGCTAGACACCTTGTTAGCGAGCTAGCGCGTTTGCTAACCTGTCATTAACAAACGTTGAGCTGCTAGACGATAACTAGGGCTTGCTATGTGTTAGCACCAATAATGTATATAAACCCTGAATTGTTGATGCTATGTATTGGACATTGCGAGGCTTTGAAGTCACCGGTCGGCCATATTGGCACTCCCCAGTAGGAGCAGTCCTCCATAGGAATGAATGTAATTCTACAGTATTTCAATTAAATGTTTCAAGGACATTGCATGTATTTTCGTTTTAGTGGGGACAGTAACATTAATACAAAAAAACAATTATTTATATATATACACTTTAAGAAAAAAATATATACTTAACAAAAATATAAACGCAACATCTAAAGTGTTGGTCCCCTGTTTCATGAGCTGAAATAAAAGATCCCAGAAATGTTCCATATGCACAACAAGCTTATTTCTCTAAAATTGTGTACAAATTTGTTTACATCCCTTGTTAGTGAGCATTTCTCATTTGCCAAGATAATCCATCCACCAGACAGGTGTGGCATATCAAGAAGCTGATTAAACAGTATGATTATTACACAGGTGCACCTTGTGCTGGGGACAATAAAAGGCCACTCTAAAATGTGTCGTTTTGTCACGCAACACAATGCCACAGATTACTCAAGTTTTGAGGGCACATGCAATTGGCATGCTGACTGCAGGAATGTCCACCAGAGCTGTTGCCAGAGAATGTAATATTCATTTCTCTACCATAAGCTGCCTCCAACGTCATTTTAGAGAATTTGGCAGTATGTCCAACTGGCTTCACAACCGCAGACCACGTGTAACCACGCCAGCCCAGGGCCTCCACATCCGGCTTCTTCACCTGCGGGATCGTCTGAGAGCAGCCACCCTGACAGCTGATGAAACTGTGGGTTTGCACAACCGACTTCAGTGGGAAAATGCTCACTTTCGATGGCCACTGGCACGAAGTGTGCTTTTCACGGATTAATCCCGGTTTCAACTGTACCGGGCAGAGGGTAGACAGCGTCGTGTATGGCATCGTGTGGGTGAGCGGTTTGCTGATGTCAACGTTGTGAACAGAGTGCCCCATGGTGGCGGTTGGGTTATGGCAGTGCTTCTCAATTATTTTCTGTTACGCCCCCCCTAGGAAGAAGTAAACATTTCGCGCCCCCCAACTCTCCGTCGCAACTGTAAATAGTATAATTTGTCTATAAAATTGTTAAGTACACCTCTGCATAACATTGTATCCTTATTAACATTAAAGAAAAAAAGAAAAAGAAAAATATAGATCAACTTACAACAAAGAATAACTTTATTAACATTTGTTTTTTAGTCTGTAACAGAAAATACTAAAAGTGCATAAATTTGCCTGAAATTTTTTAAAAAATTCAAACCTTATTTAAACTGTAAACATTTTTTGACCATTTGATACTGAAAAATAAAATTTTATATAATCAATAAATAATAATACATTCAAATTGATCAGCAACATTAACTCAGGAGCACAATATATGAAACACTTTGACCTATAAAACAAAAATGAATAAAACAATTTGTGCTGATTTATTATTATTTTTTAAATCAAAATGAGGAAGTCAGGATTAATGGCTACAATGAGCACGTTTTGCAGTGCACAGCTTTTCGAAGCGGGGTTTGAAGCATGATACTGCAATTCTCAGCTCCTGCTCAATGTTTAGCTGGGACCTGTACTTGGTCTTCAGTGCAGCAACAGCAGAGAAGCCAGTCTCACAAAGATAAGATGTTGCAAAAGGAAGAAGAATGCCCATGGCCCTCTGCCCTATGAGTGGATACTGCCTCTCTACACTCAGCCAGAATTCACTCAGTGTCTGTGATGTGAACCTCAGTCTCAATGTGGAGTCAGACGTCATATCAATGAACTGGTCCTCCTCTGCAGAGCTGAAACCAGTTGGAGCTGGTGCATTGAAAGGATCTCTCACCCAGTCATATTGGGAACTGTTTTCTGGGAAGTACTTTTTAAAGAATGCCATCAGTGATGAAATATGCTCCTTAATATATGGAATCACGGAGGTGGCATCATAGTCAGTAGTGTCAACAAATTCATGCAGGTTCTCGAATGAATCAGTATTTCCTTCATCAAGTCGCCTGCCCCACATTGCAAGCTTTCGAGTGAAAGAGCTGATCGTTTCTGTGACCTGAGGGAGGTGTTTATCTTTCCCTTGAAGCTGTAGATTTAGTTCATTTAGCTTTCCAAATATGTCACTCATGTAGGCCAGTTTTGCCAGGAAGTTCTCATCACAAAATTTTTCTGCGAGGTCATACTTGTGCTCCTGCTCCGAAAACATTCTTATCTGCTCTCTGAGCTCAAAAACTCGGGACAAGACTTTTCCTCGTGACAGCCACCTTGCTTCACTGTGAAACAGCACAGCTTGATGTTCAGCTCTCATCTCCTCACAGATAGCAGAGAAGACTCTTGTTTTTAGTGGTCTGGTCTTTATAAAATTGACTACACCTACAATGTCAGTCATAACCTCACTTAATTCAGAGAAAAGGTGCCTTGATGCCAGTGCTTCTCTGTATATAACACAGTGTGTCCACTCAGCATTAAGTGAGGCCTTCTTGATGAGTGCCCGAAGTCCTTTTCTCATCCATGCCATGGTCTTTGCACCATCACTGCAAACACCAATGCAGTTCTCCCACTTTAGCCCATTCTCAGTCAGGAAGCAGTCCAGCATTTTGAATAGCTCTTCAGCTGTGGCTCTGTCTCTGACATATTTACGAAAAAGTAGATCCTCACACAGGGAGTTTGTCATGTCAAAACGTACATAAGCGATAAACAAACAGTCTTTGTTGCTGTCAGTTGCTTCATCGAACTGTAAGGCAAAACGTTTGTCTTTGAGTTTATCTACCAGCTGTTCTTTAAGATTGTTAGCAATGTCATTTATACGTCTGGCGACAGTGTCATTGGACAGAGGGATATGATGCTAACAGTGCTCGCTGGTTTACTGAAGTAGCATTCACAAAGCGGGACGATTGTTTGCAATTTTCGGCACGTTTTCGCTGAACTCAAGCGGCTTATCAGCGTGATTGGGGTGTAATGTCTTTAAGTGACGCCTTAATTTATTTGGCTTCATTCTTTCCGCTGCCAACATTTTTAGACACAGTAAACATACCGGTCTTTCCTCGTCTCCCACCGTAGTCACAGTGAAGCCAAGCGCTACATACGCTTCATCATATTTCCTCGTCTTAGCTTTCGGGAGACTTACGTTTGTCTCAGTATCTCCGTCTCTCTCCGCCTTTCTTTTCATCCCTGTTGAATATTTTTCCATGGTGTCTCCTAAGGGTTTGTTATCTGCACTTCATATCTCCTGCTCTGTGCTGTGTGCTCTTGTTCGGTGCAAAAAAAACCTACTCCCTGCGGCAAAGAAAAGCATGTTCCCCGGGGTCACACGCGCCCCCCCGGCATCGCTCGGCGCGCCCCACTATTTGAGAAGGACTGGGTTATGGTATGGGCTGGCATAAGCTATGGACAACTAACACAATTGCAATTTATCAATGGCAATTTTAATGCACAGAGATACCGTGACGAGATCCTGAGGCCCAATGCCGTGCCATTCATCCGCCGCCATCACCTCATGTTTCAGCATGATAATGCATGGCCCCATGTTGCAAGGATCTGTACACAATTCCTGGAAGCTGAAAATGTCCCAGTTCTTCCATGGCCTGCATACTCACCAGACATGTCACCCATTGAACATGTTTGGGATGCTCTGGATTGACGTGTACGACAGCATGTTCCAGTTCCCGCCAATATCCAGCAACTTCACACAGCCTTTGATGTGGGACAACATTCTACAGGCCACAATCAACAGTCTGATCAACTCTATGCGAAGGAGATGTGTCGCGTAGGCATGATTCAAATGGTGGTCACACCAGATACTGACTGGTTTTCTGATCTGCGTATCTGTATTCCCAATCATGTGAAATCCATAGATTAGAGCCTAATTTATTTATTTCAATTGACTGATTTCCATATGAACTGTAACTCAGTAAAATCTTTGAAACTGTTCCATTTATGTTTTTGTTCAGTGTATATCTTTTCATAATTTTTTATGTTTAGCTCACATAATATAATTAAGTATGCATTAAGGTGTCTAATAGAATAGATGTATCAAATGAATGTAGACATCAATAAATGCATATTTATAGCTTCAAATCTTTTCTACAATGGAGGAGTGCCAAGATGGCTTTGTCGGCTTCAAAACAGCACCCACTGTCAGTCACCCAGGGTTTATACACATTGGTTTGCACATTTTATATTGTTCCCTCTGTTGAAGCCTTTTAGCTAGTTAGCTACTCCAGCCTTGGTGTTTTTCAGACACAGGTCCTCCGTCTTGTGTCCACACTACAAAACATTCAAGCAGAAAATAATTGAAAAGGCGTGCGCTCTCACAGGTAACAGCGGACTTTAGGTCAAGGGTCAGCTTTTCCAATCAACATGTAATAAGATTACAAAATTACCTGGTGAATTAACCCAAACAAATGCATTTTTCCCCGTGTCATTAAAAATGCAACAAACTAGCTATGTATTTAATTTGGAGGATGAAATCTCTTGATTCCCCACCTCATTTTCAAGTGTCCAATTGATATTGATGACTATTATTACAGGTGGAAGAACTGGTGGTGGATAATTGCCGCACCAGTGATGGTGAAGTAGAGGGCCTGACAGATGACTTCAAGGAGCTGGAATTCCTCAGCATGGTCAACGTTGGACTCACCTCCCTGGCCAAACTACCCTCGCTGCCCAAACTGCGCAAGGTGAATAGGGAAGCCGGATCCTTTTGAGCAATCGATTATCTCAATCAGAATAATTTAGTTAGCAGAATTATAAACCACTCTGGCTTTACTCCCAATGACCAGTATTTTGATATGGATTACATTTTTTTAAATTCCATAATTTGCTGATGAATCATTTAGAAATTATTTGTGTTCTTTCCTCAGTTGGAGCTGAGCGACAACAACATCTCAGGTCATTTGGAGACACTTTCAGAGAAGTGCCCCAACCTGACATATCTAAACCTGAGTGGCAACAAGATCAAGGAGCTGAACAACGTTGAAGCCCTGGTTAGTAGAGTCGTTAACGCTACTCAGGGCCGGTTGTTAAGGCTACTTTTAGAACTCAGTCGGGGTCTCAACTTACTGTTGAGAGGTAGAATACACAAGGTGCAGTTTTTGAAATTTGGTTGTGCATCAGCCATGTCAGCTAACAATTTTTAGATTGTAAGATATTCTAGCCAGCTATCTAAACTTGTAGTAATCATGGCCGAATACCGACCGGGCATGCACGACCCCTGCCCGGTAGTGGTGCGCGGGTCAGCTGTTTGTTCACCCGCAATTGCTAATAACCCATCCGCAACTGCCCGACCTATATGTGATAAAGTGAAAATCTATGGCCTGCACCCGAACCTAACCCGTTAATATAGAAAAAGCGCTGTAGGCTACTGTCAAAGACGGCAGAATTTTTTTTTTTTTTACAGTGGGTGCAGTTTTTGTTGTTGCCTGATTTAGATATGTTTCTATTTATAATTTCCAACATTTTGGTAGGCTATTTTTATTCAACTTTTCTATAATTAGATACAGTGCATTCGGAAAGTATTCAGACCCCTTTACTTTTTCCACGTTTTACATTTACATTTACATTTACATTTTAGTCATTTAGCAGACGCTCTTATCCAGAGCGACTTACAGGAGCAATTAGGGTTAAGTGCCTTGCTCAAGGGCACATCGGCAGATTTTTCACCTAGTCAGCTCGGGATTAGAACCAGCGACCTTTCGGTTACTGGCACAACGCTCTTAACCACTAAGCTACCTGCCGCCCCATTACATTACAGCCTTATTCTAAAATTGATTAAGTAGTTTTCTTCCTTCATCAATCTACACACAATACCCCATAATGACAAAGCAAAAACAGGTTTGTAATTTTTTTTTGCAAATGTATTAAAAATAAAAACTTAAACTATTTACGTAAGTATTCAGACCCTCAAGGACATTGAGACTTGTCCCGAAGCCACTCCTGCGCTGTCTTGGCTGTGTGCATAGGGTTGTTGTCCTGTTGGAAGGTGAACCTTCGCCCTAGTCTGAGGTCCTGAGCACTCTGGAGCAGGTTTTCATCAAGGATCTCTCTGTGCTCTGTTCATCTTTCCCTCGATCCTGACTAGCCGCTGAAAAACATCCCCACAGCATGAGTCTGCCACCACCATGCTTCACCGTAGAGATGGTGCCTGGTTTCCTGCAGACGTGATGCTAGGCATTCAGGCCAAAGAGTTCAATCTTGGTTTCATCAGACCAGAGAATCTTGTTTCTCATGGTCTGAGAGTCCTTTAGGTGCCTTTTGTATCATTTTACTGCAAGAAATGCATAATTCTTCAGGAGTTACTTATTAAGGCTATGTGAGCGGTTATAGACCTACAGACAGTGTCCAGATTTCAGTTTCCATTTAACCCATCTGAACTGTAGGCTACAGTTCCCTTGACATGTTATAGGCCTATTTGAAGTCCCTGTCTTGTGACTATAGAATTTGTATAGCGCCTCACAATCATCACACATAACATAGCCAGCACTTCTATCATCCACTTTTACCACTTCACCAAATCCCCCCCCCCCCCCCCCCCTTGCCCTCAGAACAGCCTCAATTCATGTACTCTACAAGGTGTCGAAAGCGTTCCACAGGGATGCTGGCCCATGTTGACTCCAATGCTTCCCAAAGTTGTGTCAAGTTGGCTGGATGTCCTTTGGGTGGTGAACAATTCTTGATACACACGGGAAACTGTTGAGTGTGAAAATCCAGCAGCGCTGCAGTTCTGGACACAAACCGGTGCGCCTGGCACCTACTACCATACCCCGTTCAGAGGCATTTAAATATTTTGCCTTGCCCATTCACTCTCTGAATGGCACACATACACAATCCATGTCTCGATAGTCTCAAGGCTTAAAAGTCCTTTAACCTGTCTCCTCCCCTTCATCTACACTGATTTGAAGTGGATTTAACAAGTGATATCAATAAGGAATTATAGCTTTCACCTGGTCAGTCTGTCATGGAAAGAGCAGGTGTTCTTAATCTTTTGTATACTCTGTGGAAATTGCACAAGAATGATGGTCACTAAAGATCCCATGGCACTTATCGTAAGAGTAGGGGCGTTAACCCCGGTGTCCTGGCTAAATTCCCAATCTGGCCCTCATACTATCATGAAAAATTAATGTTACAATTATGAATTTCCGGTATTGTTTTCTCTTTATTCAACCAGCCTGCCATCCACCCGCCCTTCATCCACACAATATTTAATGACCCTAAAGCCGTCCTCCCCACGGATATGACTGCATGGACTGCGGGTTATGAGTCAACCCGTGTATTACTAGTGCCCCTGACATCCAGGCGGCCCCCATTTGACTTTGTGCAAAAAATATGGCAAAATTGGTAGAATTGCAGGAAATGTGTTATAAAATTGCACCATTTTCTCTCCGCCCCAGGACAAAATCGGTACATTCACAAGGATATACACTGCTCAAAAAAATAAAGGGAACACTAAAATAACACATCCTAGATCTGAATGAATGAAATAATCTTATTAAATACTTTTTTCTTTACATAGTTGGATGTGCTGACAACAAAATCACACACAAATTATCAATGGAAATCAAATGTATCAACCCATGGAGGTCTGGATTTGGAGTCACCCTCAAATTTAAAGTGGAAAACCACACTACAGGCTGATCCAACTTTGATGTAATGTCCTTAAAACAAGTCAAAATGAGGCTCGGTAGTGTGTGTGGCCTCCACGTGCCTGTATGACCTCCCTACAACGCCTGGGCATGCTCCTGATGAGGTGGCGGATGGTCTCCTGAGGGATCTCCTCCCAGACCTGGACTAAAGCATCCGCCAACTCCTGGACAGTCTGTGGTGCAACGTGGTGTTGGTGGATGGAGCGAGACATGATGTCCCAGATGTGCTCAATTGGATTCAGGTCTGGGGAACGGGCGGGCCAGTCCATAGCATCAATGCCTTCCTCTTGCAGGAACTGCTGACACACTCCAGCCACATGAGGTCTAGCATTGTCTTGCATTTGGAGGAACCCAGGGCCAACCGCACCAGCATATGGTCTCACAAGGGGTCTGAGGATCTCATCTCGGTACCTAATGGCAGTCAGGCTACCTCTGGCGAGCACATGGAGGGCTGTGCGGCCCCCCAAAGAAATGCCACCCCACACCATGACTGACCCACCACCAAACCGGTCATGCTGGAGGATGTTGCAGGCAGCAGAACGTTCTCCACAGCGTCTCCAGACTCTGTCACGTCTGTCACGTGCTCAGTGTGAACCTGCTTTCATCTGTGAAGAGCACAGGGCGCCAGTGGCGAATTTGCCAATCTTGGTGTTCTCTGGCAAATGCCAAACGTCCTGCACGGTGTTGGGCTGTAAGCACAACCCCCACCTGTGGACGTCGGGCCCTCATACCACCCTCATGGAGTCTGTTTCTGACCGTTTGAGCAGACACATGCACATTTGTGGCCTGCTGGAGGTCATTTTGCAGGGCTCTGGCAGTGCTCCGCCTGCTCCTCCTTGCACAAAGGCGGAGGTAGCAGTCCTGCTGCTGGGTTGTTGCTCTCTTACGGCCTCCTCCACGTCTCCTGGTGTACTGGCCTGTCTCCTGGTAGCGCCTCCATGCTCTGGACACTACGCTGACAGACACAGCAAACCTTCTTGCCACAGCTCGCATTGATGTGCCATCCTGGATGAGCTGCACTACCTGAGCCACTTGTGTGGGTTGTAGACTCCGTCTCATGCTACCACTAGAGTGAAAGCACCGGCAGCATTCAAAAGTGACCAAAACATCAGCCAGGAAGCATAGGAACTGAGAAGTGGTCTGTGGTCACCACCTGCAAAACCAGTCCTTTATTGGGGGTGTCTTGCTAATTGCCTATAATTTCCACCTGTTGTCTATTCCATTTGCACAACAGCATGTGAAATGTATTGTCAATCAGTGTTGCTTCCTAAGTGGACAGTTTGATTTCACAGAAGTGTGATTGACTTGGAGTTACATTGTGTTGTTTAAGTGTTCCCTTTATTTTTTTGAGCAGTGTATGTGGCTGTGCATGCCACCCTTGACTTGGAGAGAATTTGTTAAGGGTTGTCTGATAAGATGTTGTGCTCTAACCTCTGCTTTCTAAAACCATAGCAAAATCTGAAGAACCTGAAGAGCCTGGACCTGTTTAACTGTGAGATCACCACACTGGAGGAGTACCGGGAGAGCATCTTCGAGCTGCTGCCTCAGGTCACCTACCTGGACGGCTTCGACCAGGAGGACAACGAGGCCCCTGACTCGGAGGCAGACGACGATGGTGAGCATGGCTACCACAACACAACATGGTGCTGTTAGTGATATTTCAGCGGAACTTTCTTGAACAAAGTACTTCTTCATTCATAGATGATGATGAGGGGGAGGACGGAGCCGGACCCACAGGGGATTATGAGGATGAAGATGAGGATGAGGAGGGCTCGGAAGGAGGAGAGGTTGGGCTCTCCTACCTGATGAAGGAAAAGATCCAGGTGAGACAACTGGAATATTGGTCATGTTTTATCGGAACGTCATAATGTTTTATTTCTGAACACGTGAGTCAACGCTTAATTAAATAATCTTAACCATCCCCCTCCACACACAGGACGAAGAGGATGATGATGACTACGCAGAGGAGGAGGAAGAAGGTGAGAACAAGAATTGTTGTGTTGACCTGTCACTAGTAATCAAACCCAAGTACATGGACTCTAGCCTGGAAGTGGCAGATATGTTTGTCTGACACCAATCTATTGATGTAGTCAACCATATATTAACATTGATTCCATGCTGGCTGTTAATCCATTTGTGACAGTGACTCAGAGCAAAGGGGCATAGGCTCTTTGACTCAGGAGAGTTTGACTTCTATTGATCCATTCCTCAGCCCTGTGTGACTTGTATTGATTTGTCACTGATCCGTGTGTAATCCCCATTGAGAGCAGTCGCTAGCATTGACCTTTGGAGCCAAGCTAGGTCTTCCTTCTACACTTAAAACAAGGTTAGAATACCTCCCTACACCGTAGGCAGATAAATCCTTTCGACTTTACAGGTATCTGTAAGCTCAGTTGGTAGAGCATGGCGCTTGCAACGCCAGGGTTGTGGGTTCGATTCCCACGGGGGGCCAGTATGAAAATGTATGCACTCACTCTGGATAAGAGCGTCTGCTAAATGACTAAAATGTAAATGTATCGCAGGTTGTGTACATGTAATCCAGAGATGGTTCAGGCCATTTAGTTGTTACCTTGTGAAGGCAGCTAAAGTCCCCACGTGTATACGTGAACTACTCCTTCTGCACTCTGAGTCGAAAGCTGTGCCTACTGTGAGATGACATCAGTAAGCAACACACTCGCATGTGTGTGCAAGGAGTATAAATCAGCCCTCTCCCTCTATAACATGCCAGGGAAAATACTTAGCCGCTATATCATACATATGCAGTAGATCTGAGGTCTTGGGGATCCTTTGAAAGTAGACTTTGATGTAAGAGAACTGCATTAACATGAAACCAAAATGGACTCCTTAGCCTCTCTTAGTGTTTCGCTAATGGTAATTCAGTCTACAGAGTGGCCTTTGTTACGTGACAGATGTATACTGGTGGTACTGTGTTTGTTTTCCCTCTCTGGTGTTTTTGAGACTGGTAGGTGGGCGGAACATGCAGTGGGTCTTGTATCAACTCCCACATTGCCTGTGGATACGATTTCATTATAAGGATGTCGAATTCTGAATTAAGGGAAATGCCAATTGGATTTGATTGCCGTTATTTTTACTTGGTCCTGATTAGAAGTGATTTTCGCCACCTTTTTAAAAATCAGACAAATTCTGACATTTTGATTGGCTTGTGTCCTGTGCAGAGGAGAAGGCAGGAGTCAAAGGGGAGAAGAGGAAGAGGGATGCTGAGGACGAAGGGGAGGATGATGATGATGATGATGACGACTAGGCTTGTCTTTCCCCTGCGACCCTCTGGATCCAGATCCAAGCTGTAGAACAATAACCACAAAAAAGTGTGATCTTGCAGATTGTTTCTCTTTATATACAATAGATATCACTGTAGAGGCTAGGTTTCTTTATATATATATATATATAAAGAATGAATGAGAGAGATACTATACGAAGAGGAGATTTTATTGGCAAATAATTTGTTAATCATTCTAAGTTAAATTACCACCCCAAAAATCTCTTCAATATGCAGGGAGTCTAAAATAAATGGATGGAGGGGGTGGGTGGGGCTGGGGCTGGATTTCTCAAAGTGCTTGCCAATGATATGATCAGTTGCAACTAGAGGTGTGTTATGGACTCATTTAAGAAGTGCTGTCGCAACAATGACCAGCCAACCGCACAACAGAAGTGGCCCATGCTGTCCCTCGTTGACATCCATGTTCAACAAACCTCCAGTGACGTTCCAAGACCCACAACATTCCAGGCAGCCCAGAGTCCAGTCCAGCCCATAGAGATAGAGGACTCATCTTTGTATCTGTGCCATTATAGCATCTGTGACTGCATGGGCAGCGCCATTGACGCAATCTCACAATTGGCCCAGCGTCGTCCGGGATTGGCCGGTGTAGGCCGTCATTGTAAATAAGAATTTGTTATTAACTGACTTGCCTAGTTAAATTAAAGGAAAAATACAAATCTCCATTTTGAAGTAGTTTATTTTCTTCACATTTGGCTGATCCCTCGTGATGACCCGTTTGGACATGATACCAACAGGGTCACCAGGAGGGATCAGCCAATGAAGTTAGAAGTTCTACCCAGTTGACTACATTAAAATGGTGGAAGCCCTCAATGATGCTACCCATGCTAACACAGCCTTTTGGCCACTAGAGGCCTCTATCATTCTCTATGGCCCAGCTAAGTCTCGTCTACCTCTCTGGGCCACTGTGAGAAGAGAATGCCCCCTACAGGACAACACTCTACAAGAACCACCCTCACTACTCAGGCGGCCAGGGATACCAGGCTAGAAAAGAGGCACCAGGAAGTTTCGGAACCTCTACCGTCATCACTGTCTGCCACAAGCAGTCTCCTCTTCCCCCCCCCCCAATGCATTTTGTACCAGATAGTTTCCAACCATCAATGAAAGTCCTGTCTCCCGTAAGCATAGCGAAGACTGTGTTCGATCCCTCACACAGTATATTACTTGTTTTAGGAATTTTTTTTAATAGTGGGATGTGGGGAGATCCAGGAAAGTAGTCTAGCAGTTTCAATACCAGCATTAGCCCTGGGGAGTCGCATTACCAACTGATGTACAAACCGACCCCAAAACATTTGTGAAGGCCGTAGAGCTGTGGCTTTCCAGGACTGGGGCTGGTAATCTGTATTCTAAATCAAACCTAGCGGTTTGGCCTTAACCTTATCCGTCCATAACAGATGCAAACCAATATATTTCCTTCTGGTTCAACAGGCCATATCTGTTTACAGCTTTAAATACTGTAACCCGACTATTAATGTTGTTGTCGCGGTAAAGGTGACAGAGTGGCACGGCCGTAATGTTTTCATTGAAAAAGTTAAGGTCAAACCGCTTCGGTGTAGGAATGAACCGCAGCCCGAAGTAAATTTTTACCTTTGTCTTGCTGTTGATGCAAGTTAGTTTATAATTGTACCAGTATTTTACATAGCAGGAACTTTAATCTATTATTTGTAAGGCAATATGTAAATAGTTTCAGTTCTAAGAGTTTGATGTTTCATGTGTTTTTTTGTTTTTTTTTATGACATTTTCGTCATTTTGTTTTAATGTAAAGCACAGGTCAATGAGCCAAACTCTGACCCAACACACTTAATATAGATTATTTTCCATCCTTGGCTGTTGTGACAAGTTGTTTGGTGTTTTGTGTGCTGTAAACATCTTGAAGGGTTTTGAATAAAAAAAATATATAAACAGAAAGGAGAATGCTTTGAAATAAATGTATTGATTGTTTTTTTTCTTCAGAAAATGATTACATAATTACACAAATGTCATTCACTGCTAGGCAGTAGTAGGGATATTATATCACATGTAGCAACAATTTATGTACAAATGATGTACAATTTACCAAAAAGTGACCAAAGGAGTGAGAAATTCAGCAGATTACATTGGCAGGACCAAACTCCAAACTTCTTTGGCCGTCACCAATTCATGTATGAGAAATGTTTCACAAAACCGTCAACTCTAAAGGTATTTAGTGAGGAGTGGGAGTGTAATGCGACACATAAGGCCTATGAGTTAGTTCCTCACGAACAGTCTGCTGGCTCAGCGTCTAATATCACACACAGGTGCCATCTGCTGGGTGTCACAAGCATGAATAATTCATGAGGGAGGTCTTGGGAGTTAGAGCACACTGGACATGAAGGGGGTGGGGTTATGTCAGAGATGCAGGGGTGGGGCCACTGGAACATGCCATGAACAATTTATTATACTGATCTAAGGTTGCTTAGTGCCGTACAGATGGGGGGCTTGTTAGGGGAATTGCTGTTTTACTGCTAACAGTAAGAAACACCTCAGATTTTCCTCTAGCAATAATCGAAACCACAGAAAACTTAGAGCGACTGTTCCTAAAAAGCAACTTCTCGTCTTGAAAATGGCCTATATGGCATCGATTTATAAGCCAGGAACATATATTCTAGTATCAAAATTGACTACAAAGTGTAAATAGGATTTGAGAGATGATAGAAAAAAATGGTATGTCACGGAATGAAGGGTACCGTAACAGTTTTCCTTGTGTTGAGTTTATTTCAATCCTACCCACATGCCCACAGCTGGCAGCACCCAAGTAATCATCCATTCTGAGTGAAGCAGCATGAGACCTGATTGTAATGCCCATGGTCAATTTGGTTTGACATTCAAAATCCCTTTTGGGCTAGTTAGGGACCATCAGTAAATTACACAATGTACATGGGACAATATTTTTTTATATGTCAATAGCTCCAAATTTCAATGACTTAACCTCAAACCAATTATAAATTGTAGAAATTCACAAAAAAATATTGAAAGCATTTAATGAGACAACAAAAAAAATGTGCAACATTAAAATATTGTCCCATTTACATTGTGTAATTTATTGACGGTCCCTAACTAGCCCCAGAGAGGCTATCAAACATCAAACCAGCTGGCTGTTTTTCCCAACAAAAGGGCTTTATTACAGACTGAAATACTCTTCAGTTTCATCAGCTGTCTGGGTGGCTGGCCTCAGATGATCCCGCAGGTGAAGATGCCGGATGTAGAGGTCCTGGGCTGGCGTGGTTACACATGGTCTGCGGTTGTGAGGTTGGTTGGACGTACTGCCAAATTCTATAAAACAACGTTGGAGGCGGCTTATGGTAGAGAAATGAACATTCAATTCTCTGGCAACAGCTCTGGTGGACATTCCTGCAGTCAGCATGCCAATTGCACACTCCCTCAAAACTTGAGACATCTGTGGCATTGTGTTGTGTGACAAAACTGCACATTTTAGAGTTGCCTTTTATTATCTTCAGCACAAGGTGCACCTGTATAAAGATCATGCTGTTTAATCAGCTACTTGATATGCCACACCTGTCAGATGGATGGATTATCTTGGCAAAGGAGAGATGCTCACTAACAGGGATGTAAACTAATTTGTGCACAACATTTGAGAGAAATAAGCTTTTTGTGTGTATGGAACATTTCTGGGATCTTTTATTTCAGCTCATGAAACATGGGACCAACACTTTACATGTTGCGTTCATATTTTTGTTCAGTGTAATTTAATAAATGCATTTCTCCTAAGCTCCATCACAGTAAGTGAAATACAATAC